ATGTATATATATATATATATATATATATATATATATATACATATGTATATATATACATATGTAAATATATACATATATATATATATATATTTATATATATATATATATATATATATATATATATATATATATATATATATATATATATATATATATATATATATATATATATACATACATGCGTATATATGTGCATACATTTGTATATATATATATATGTATATATATATATATATATATATATATATATATATATATATATATATATACATATATGTGTATATATATATGTGTATATATATATATATATATATATATATATATATATATATATATATATATATATACATATACATTGATAAAGAGATGTTTAAAGTTCTCTACACTACACTTGTCCGTCCACACCTTGAATATGGTATTTCTGTATGGTTACCTTAAAGGAGATATATCTTTATTAGAACAAGTACAGAGGTGAGCAACTAAGCTAATTACGTCTCTTAAAAAGATGACATATGAAGAAATACTCATGAGTCTAAATCTAACAACACGTTTAACTCGGAGATTTGATACAAATTTTTAAAATCATCAATAAAATAGATAATCTAACTATGTTAAATATATATGGCCAGGTTTTTTAGTCATTTTGAGAACATTTAAATTTATGTACAAAACAAAAAATTTTTGTTTTACGGACATACATGGAAACATAAAAAACTTGAATGTTCTCAAAACATCTGCCACATTAACAAACAAACTAATTCTATTAGTTCAAAAAATATGCTGACTAAGCAAAATAAAGTTCTAGAGTATTCTGTTGTAATGTTTTAGAAATAGTATTATTAACGATTTGTTACGTTTTGAGATTTCTAACATAGATTGTTTTAAGAATATATTATCAATTCTATGGCTCATTCTCATTGGCTCATTCGGAAACACAAAACTGTAAATCTTATAAACTATTATTATTTGTTTACAAAAATAAATGTTTTAAATATATATTATTTAAATTGTCAAAATTTTGAAAGTTTATTATAAATTATAGATTTTATTAGTATATACTTATTTAAAGAGTGTGTATTTTTTATTTAAATGTGTATATGTTTTTTATTGATTTAATTTGTAAACAAAGACTTACAAAAATAATTGCGTTTTCAATGAAGCTATTAATAATCATTAAAGTTAATAAAACTAATTATCTAACAAACATAAAAGAAGTTTATGGTTACTAAACACAAACAATGCATACAAAGTAACTTGTGGATGAACAAAGCACGGCACCTGAAGTCATGACAGAACACAGATATATATAGCAAGTTACTAGATATAAAGAAAAATTTCTAGATATTGATTTACCAAATCTATTTATTTTCGCTATTTACCAAATCTAATTATTTTCACCATTCTTGAAAACTCTATATACTTTTTTTCTGCTTTAAATACTAATTAAAATTAAAAAGCCCACTCACTAAACATCATCAGCGATATTGTGAAGCAGTTTTACTTCCTCGTCATAAAGTATTTTTAACTTTTTTAGTTGTTTTCTATCTAGTTAATTTAATTTCTATAGTAATTTAATGATTTAATTATTTCATTTGTTTATCTTACTAAGATGAATTGTTTCAAATATGTTAAACTTTTCAAACTACGCGAAACATAAAATAGGTATTAAAAATAATAACTTTTTTATTTATAAAATAATTTAGCTTAGATAAAACTAAAATTTGCAAACTTTGATAAATAAAGAACATTTGTTTCCTTTTTAAACAATCGTAATATGTTACTTAATATAAAAAACGTCGCTTAATTTTATAAAAAAAATTATAAAAGAGCAATGTTTCGAAAATATTTGTTCTAAGTGTAATTTGTTTTGCTTTTTTCAGGTTAAAAGATATTTTATTCTCCTAATTTTTTTTTTGTAATTTTCTCTCATTGGTCCAATTAATCTTTTGCACATTTTTTTTTTGCTTTTTGAAATGTTCTTAAAACAACTAAAAAATCTGGCAAGCTTTTTCCAACTAAATATTATTTCTGTCAGCAATCGAGAGAGCGATCGCTCCCACTTCCCGACCAAGCCTGTTAATATGTTTTTGTTTAAGTAATTCTTTTATTACAGCAAGGAAACTTTATAATATGAGAAACTGTGTTATATTGTGTAAACTTTTTTTTAGGAGCCATCAAGACAAAAAAAACTTTTTCCAGCAGCTACATCCACCTTGACTGCTCAACAACTTCTACAAGTTTAATACCAGACTAGGCTTTCAAACAGAGTGATGAACAAGCTTGATTCAACAAAGTAGTTAAGAAAACCTCAGGGAAAAATTTGAGTCTCTTGAAAAACATCTTTTTGGCTTGTTCGTCACCTCAGAACTTTCAGACACATCCAAAAGTCATAGCCAAGAATCCAAAGGTCTATTTGTGTACTGCAATGATGTTAAAGCTCTAAGTTCAGATCACTTTAGTTCCAATCAGAGGTCCTCAATCAAAGAACTTATCAAGGTGAGAATTGATAGAGGAGGAGGGTTCCTGTCTGCAATAGAATAATGCAAGAAATGATGAACATTCAACAACAACCTTTTCATGGAGGGCAATTTGCAGGGAATGAGTGCAAAAAACTTTTACAAAATGTTGGCTTGCTCCATTATGACTTCAAAGAATCACTCCATTATGATGTTGGCTTGTTCCATCATGACTTCGCAGAATCACTCCATTATGACTTCAACCATTACCTGCAATGATTCAAAAGGCCCATTAATAATCCAGACTATCCTAAGAATCTTCTAAACTGTTTAATTGATTAAAAAGCAATCATTCATTTCAATTAATACTGTTTTATAACATATGATGTGTAAGAAATTACTCTTCAACATCAATTTTTAAGAAATATATTTAATAAGAGTAATCGTTTTTTTTAAGTTGCTTGATCTGTTAGGCTAGAATCTGATTTTTTAAAATTTTTTGTCAAAATGTATGCATGTATATTAGAAAATCAAAAACGATTGGGGGAAGGCAATTAAAACGATTGATTGAAGGCAATTGGAAAACAAAGACGATTGGAAAAAAAAAAATGCCCAAATGTTTAAAACCAATATGTATACTATTTCAGGCAATGCCTATTTTATTTTTTTTAACACTAGTATACTCTCACTTCAAAAATTATATTTTTATTGCTATGATGAAACTGTTGGAAACAGATGTTGTATATTCTCTGCATGATTTTAAATTATCAATTGTCTCAAGTGTAAAGGATATCAAATTTATGTGCTAGATGCAATTTATGTGCTAGGCAAAATACAAAATAAAAAGTTTTAATTTGATATTATTATCTAGTTTATAAAACTGAAAAACTTGACAGCATTGCTGTTTCATTACCAATTAGAACTTTGTCACATTATGTATAGGCATTACACCTCTAAAAAATGTGACAGAATTATTGGCAAATCAAAAGTTTCTTGCAGAAACACTAGGCGATCTCACAAAAAACTATAACAATTCAATATTGTATATAAACATGATACAAGAAAAGTTTCTGAAATTTGCAAAGTTTCAAAGCTGAACTTCTTGATTGCTTGTTCATTTAAGACATGTTCACTTAGAGAAATTGAAGTATTAAAGGTTATGAAATATTAAAAGTTTAAGTTTAATTATATGGAAAATGGAAGTATTTAATTTTATGTGTGTTACATCCCGTATGTTTAGATCAATGATCAAAGTGCCTGATAAATTGAAACAAGCATACATAGCTCTGTTGCCTTTTTTTGTTTAAAATTTAAAGACAAACTAAAGCTAAATATTTTCTGAACAGACAAAATAAAACATTAGGATCATTTCCACACCTAACGTATGTTTAAAAAAAGTTATTATAATATGTTAGGTTACTCAAAAAGTAGAAATGCACTGGAAATGAATTTTTGCAGCCGTCAATTAATACTATAAGGGTTAGTTTAAAATTATTCTCTCTGAAATTTAAATCAATAATGTACTTATTTTGATCAAACTTTTAAAGCGCAGTTTTCCATACTTATTATAAGTGTTTCACACTTATTGTATATATTGTTGACACTTATTGTATATCTTAAAATATGCTTTAGTGACTGGTTTATAATGCGCTTGGGGTTTCAAATGAAAGTTTAATGAATTAGTAACATTTTATGTATACTATTAAGCTGTATGAGCTTGTATCTATAATTTTCACTTTGCTTACTTCGTATTTTTGATATTAAGTTAAAAATTCAATTATAAAAATATTGCTTGCTAAAAAACATATTTTATTTTTAAAAAGCTTTTAATTAGAATTATGAAATTTAAATAACTTTTCAAAAACTACTAAAGCTCTATAGCTCTTTGTTTTTATTGTTTCTTTACAGTTTTTTTAATATGTTTTTTAATAAAGTTATTTTACTGGTCATTTAGACTTATAGACATGGTCATTTAGATTTATTAAGTTATCGAGTTTATTTTAAAGTAATTGTCAAAACATTTAAAAAAAATCTTTAATTACTTTTTTACCTTGAAGATGCTATCAAAACTTAATGGTGAATAAATATTACTGCGTGTTTACGTAATACTTATTTAAGCGATCTTTTATTATACATATATATATATATATTATATATATATATATATATATATATATATATATATATATATATATATATATATATATATATATATATATATATATATATATATATATATATATATATATATAAATATATATACATATATATATATATATATATATATATATATATATATATATATATATATATATATATATATATATACATATATATGTATATATATATAAATATATATATATACATATGCATATATATATATATATATATATATACTTATGCATATATATATACTTATGCATATATATATACTTATGCATATATATATATATATATATATATATATATATATATATATATATATATATATATATATATATATATAAATACATATAATTTTAATTTCAATTTATATTTTAAAAGTGAAAATCATGCAACTGAAATTGGTGGTGAGGATGGTATCAATTTTAAAGCTTTTATGAGAGCTCTTGCTCGTTTTCGATCAATCTCATCACACAATCATAATCCGCTAAACACAAGAGAACATAAGTTAGAATGTAAATTTTCTATAAAATTTTTTTTTATAATTGTTTATATTTGAAGTATAACCACAAATAAGGCTTATGTTTGTTTTTAAAATTCTACATTCTTTAGTTTTTTATTAAAAAAAAAAAGGCTTGGTTTAACATTATTACTAAAACTATGTAATATAATAATTATTTTAATTAAAGAATTGCAATAATATTGTTGATATTTTTGCAATTCTTGGTGTTAAAAATTTAACAAAAATATTTGTTGCACAACAGAAGTATGTGTTTCACAACAAAAAAGTGTTGCACAACAAAGTAAATTGCAAAGGAAAAACTTATAAAATTTTAAAATACTATAAATATAATAGGATTTAATATTTACTAATTTGAAGTTGAATTTTCAAATTTCTTTTAGCATTTTTTAAGGTTTAGAGTTTTTTTTATTTAACTTTTTAGTATCATGGCTGTAGACAAATAAAGGCTTGAAATGGGGGTGGGGTGTTGGTGGTAGAGGTGGTCATTTATTGTTTTTGTTGCACCCCTAATTATTTATAAGCAATTCAAAAATATGTTAATAAATTAATTTAATATATGTTAATAAAAAATATTTTGCAATTAAACTAATAATAAAAGTAAAAATGCCGCAAAATAATTTTAAATGCACCGATTCAATGCTATCGTTAATATATATATATATATATATATATATATATATATATATATATATATATATATATATATATATATATATATATATATATATAAAATACAACTCGTTGAACAGAAGTCATTAAAACATTGCGTTAAACTCGGGTTTAAGTAAGACAATTTTTTTTAAATTTTTTATTATTTTTTGTTTCTTTGTTTTGTAGTTATTTGGAGTCACTTGTAAGCTTGAGAAAATCTTTCAAGAGTTTATTATTTAAAGTTATATATTATTAGACATATAATTATATATTATAAATATACATTTTTTATTATAATTATTAGATAAGATATATTTTTATATTTGTTTGCATAAAAATGTGATGGCAATCTTGTTCTAAAGTCGTTTGCATTATTAAAAGTAATTTAAATATTTATTATGCACTTTTTAGTTTAATACTATGTTAAAAAAAGTTTGTTATAATTGCGTAACATTACAAAACAATGTTTTCTATGGTTTACTTCAGTGATATGACTTTAAAATGGAAGTTATCTGGTGCGGATAGGAAGCATTTTAAACAACCAAAGGAATTAAAATTGACTTAAACGATTGGAAGGGGCAGATATAAATTGCACCATTACTTTTTTCTATGCAAGAACTGTCTCTTCTCTTACCACTGCCTCTACTGTTAAGACTGCATCTTTTGCCATCCCTGCAACTCATGCACATACAGCATTTTTTTATTAGATGTTAACTCAACTTCTAATGGTTTCGACAGTCATTTTACTAAGAATTAGTAGCAGTAGTGACAGCATCTATTGCTGATCCTGTCGCTATTAATTCTTCTATTGGCTTGGAAAAATATCTACTTTTACTTTAGCATTATTTACTAGCTTTGTCTTAATATTACTTCCTTGTTTACTAACTCTGTCAACAAAAACATTAACTCTACCTCCACTCCTTCGCAATCTACCAAAAAAAAGTATCCTAGTAATAGTCTGCATCAACTGAGTTAGTTTTTCCAAAATGTACTTGTGGTTGTCAGAAGCGATCATTTTTTGAGCAATGGTTATAGTTATTATACTCTCAATGCCATCAACATAATGAAAAATGTTTTTAACACTGTTCATGAAATTGCAAAGTTGATACAAAAAAGTCTCCCAAACATGAATGTCAAAAAGATAAAAGAAAATATTTTCTCTGAGACACCTGGTATTCCTGTATACTCTGCCCTACATTAGGGTGATGCTATAATAACTTTTTTTAAAATACTATGTGAAACCTTTTCTAAAACATGAATAATTGTTTCCAAAACACAATTTTATAAAAAATAATTGAATTTTAAAAAATAAGAAAAAAATTAAATAAGCGTTCACTTAATATTGAAAAAAAAGTGGATTCTTTTTTATTCAGCTTATAAAAAGCATATATTACCAAGTGAAATGCTTTTCATTGATAAAATTAGTATAAAAAGAGTAACTTATACTAAATTTTTAGGTATTATTGTGGATGAAAATCTTTCATGGAAAAACCACATTGGAAATCTAAATAATATAATTGCAAAAATATTGGGATTCTATATAAAATAAGAAGAATTTTAAATAAACATACTTTAATTTAACTATATTACTCATTAATTCACTGCCAATAAAGATAAAATATAATTTATTATGTCTAATAAGCAATAATCATTCATGATTATTGCTTATTAGACATTTTAATAAACATTTCAGTTAAGAAAAGTTTCACAAGAGCATAATCAAACTTAGTCTGGTAAGCTTGGATGTCCATAGCACGAAGTGCTATGGACATCAAAGCTTACCGGACTCTTTGCAACCTTATTTGTTCTATGCACACTTTTTAATGTCACCTCAACACCAACAATATGTCTGGTCAGATCTTCTTGGGTTGTAATGCTGGCTGATGTGGCTTCTTTCAAATTCACCCAATTGGGTTCTTCCCTCATTTTAAATCATGCATGTGACCAAGAATAGGTAATAAACTTAGTTATTTCTTTCAATTATTGCCTTTCTTCAGGGATTAGAAAGTAGCCTAGTGAGATAAAAATTGCTTTGCTGTTCTATTTTGCTGAGTGAGAACATGACAATTTAGTTAGTAGCTCCAGTCAGGATAAAGTATTCTTATCCAAGTAATGCCTGAAGGCAATAAAGACACACAATAAGAATATATAATGCATAAATATGATTGATGTTGAAAAAGAAAAAGTTTAATGAAACAAACCTAGCTAATAGTCTATAATCATCTCTCCAAGTTTTAACAGTTTTAACAGGAAGATGAGGCGTTTTATGCTAGACATTATATGATTGTATCATAATTTTGAGAGCTTGATTCTGTTTATAATTACTCTAGATAATCAATATCTAGGTTTTTTAGTATCAATTGCCTATTTGCAGGATGCTCAACAACTTTTTGACTGGTGGATATACAGTTCATTTTATCAGCCATTTGATTATTATAAAATATTTGTTCTTTGCTCTTCATTTTTTTTTGTCAAGAATATTAAACAGTATAAAAAAATCCATAGTTGATTTTCTCTTCAAACATTTTTTATATTCAACCACAAGTTTATTTAGTTTTTTTGTGATGCCAGTTCTGGTTACTGACAGAAGGCTAAATTTCATATTCCAGAGCTGCTCCAAATCCTTTATTATTATTTGTATAACAACTTTTGATGGTGGTGCAGAGTGTGTCAACTAAATGGTGATAGTAACCAAGAATATGCCAAAATTCCTGAATAGTCTTAAAATTAGCCAAGCTTTTCGTTTGTAATCCATATGGACCAGAAGCTCCCTCAATTCTTTTGAACATGAGCCTAGAATTGTCTGCCTTTCTCTTTGAGGCTCCATTAGCACTTATGCAGGACATATTTATGAAAATATATTTATAGCTAAATAAGAAAATTAAATAAAATTAGAAAATTAAATAAAAGTACTTTCTACTCTAGAAATGATTAGTTAAACATATAATAACTAATAATTTAAAAACTTATAATAACTATTAATTTAAAAACTTATAATAACTATTAATTTAAAAACTTATAATAACTATTAATTTAAAAACTTATAATAACTATTAAGTTAAAAACTTATAATAACTATTAAGTTAAAAACTTATAATAATTATTAATTTAAAAACTTATAATAACTATTAATTTAAAAACTTATAATAACTATTAATTTAAAAACTTATAAGGTAAAACATTAAAATATAATAACTATTAACTTCATCTAATTTAAAAACTTATAATATAATAACTATTAACTTCATCTAATTTAAAAACCATATAAATATTCTCTAATAAAGGATAGTTATACTTAAGTAGTCCTGGTAAGTATTTTTTTCTTATTTCTATAAAGTAACTTTTTTTTTTGACCTCATAAAAATTTTAATAATTTTTAATTAAACTTTTCTAAGAATACATTTTTTCATGTTATGGAAAAGGTTTCATTTGTACAAAGGTTTCATTTAAAATAAAACATAGCATCCCCCTACCCTACATGCTGGATGGAGAGCAGAATCATTTTATTTCATATCTGAAAACTATGAAGCTCTACAAGTAGTGTGGGAAAAAGCTAAATCTGAGGCAAAGGATAGCGAGATCATCATTATTAGGCAAGACTATTCTTTGCATGGTTTTTAAAAAACAATTTATTAAAAAGTTTGCTAAAGTCAACTCTTTCAGCTAGTGAAGATCAGAAAGTTATTGATTGAACTTTGGTTACATTGAGATCTATCCGGTCTGAAAATTCATTTGAGCTATTCTGGAATCATATTGAAATAAAAAAAAAATTGCTTCCAATGTAAAAACCGACTTTGCCTCACTATAGCAAAATACCTCGTTGTTTTGAAATTGCAGAATTTGCATCAATAATACCTAAAATTTCTTGATTTTTTTAAGAGGTTTTTTATAGATTTTTTTTGAAGCTATAAAATAGCAATTGGCAGTATTCAATAAGATTTCAACATGGATATTTAATGCTTCAAAAGATTTACTTAAAAATGTTTCATTGGAAGATAGTTCAATAAATAAAGAAGTCCTTGCTTTTTATGCTACAGATTTGAATGCTTCAAGACTCCGTGCCCAATTGAAAGTTATGCATGAATCTACTACTCAGCGATTGAACCCCCTACAAGAAGTCCTTAGTTATGTTAGGTAAGATATGAATGCAGTTGCTAAAAATCTTGTTGTTATTTATTTTAACAATTCTGACTGCAGTTAATTGCAAATTGAATAACATGCACTGAATTGAGTGTATTTATGGTAAAATAGCACATAATTTTTTTTTCTTATACTTTATTGCATTTTACAGAGGAGCAAATGAAGTTGAAAAAGAATCATCAGAAATTAGGAAATTGATTA